CTCTCCATCCCGGCACCGTATGGTTCACACTGTTACGCGACACCTATTTTTTGCTTCTCGGACAAGCAGCCGGCTTGCTTATAACTTGCAGCAACTCAATGGACTAGCGGCCCTATCGCAGCCGAAGCGAACTTGGCTCCCCGCAGGCGTCTCCTCTCTCCCTTACTCCGGCTGGGATTCTGTGTCGAAGAACATCAGCTGTTTGCTCTACTGGCCGCAAGTCCTTGCTGCAGTAGCCTGTGTAGCTCTTTCGTTGATGCGTTTAGGACAGCAGTGCTACGAAGAAGATGCAGAGATTAATGAAAAATCCGCCCTTAATGTCTTCTACGGTCATGCGCTTGCAGAGGTCCTCATGTTTTTGTTGGAAAAGGGTTACTTGACTTGGAAAATTGAACAAGGGAAATTGGTCGAACGGGTGAGCGAAGAGTATGAGCTCGGTCCTATTGGTTTGGGTTCTCTCCGCCGATTCTCCTACCACGCATATTCCAAATGCATTGACGGCAGCATCTTCGACCGATTGAAGATGGATCTCGTCATCTTCGACGGATTGAAGATGGATCTCATCTCCTACGCCGAGGAGCTCCTCGATTCCGATTTCCCAGATGAACCGATCATCGGCGCGAGAATCCTACAAGGATTCGTCGAAAACAAGCTGTTTGCAGACGACACACTCCGCAAAATCGGAAGATCTGAGGGAAAAGATTTGCCCACAATAGAAATTTTATTCACATTATATGGACATTATATTCGTATTATATCCCTATAATCTCTATGTAACTTTCATATAACCTATATGTAACCTACAAATATGTGAAAACAAAAGCACAAAACTTATTTGTAAGTTCAGGTTAAATGAAGGTTACATCGAGGTTACTGACGATATAATTAAGATATAACATGAATATAACCCCCATTATATACACAGCGCTGCGTACGTCTTACGTACGCAAATTCTTCTCCTCTTGGAGGTGTCAGCTGGACCCGAGAAATATTTTCTTACTTAATACGTGTACGTCAGTTAGGTTATAGGGAGGGTATTGAGGGTTATGTCAGCATTATACCCTTGTAAGCTCTCTGTAACCTACATGTAACATACCTGTAACTTAAAAATATATGAAAACAGAAGCGCGAAACTTACTAGTTACAGATAGGTTACAAGTATGTTACAAGTAGGTTATAGGGTGTGTTACGCAGATATAGCCCCCAATACCCTCCATATAACCTATCAAGCATACGCAATAATTTTTTGTTGGGCTCACCCAACAAATACATAATTTTAGAAATCAACAAGTTAGTGGGAACAAAATTGAAAAAGTTCGAGGGCAGAGTTCCGAGAATGACGAGATTTGTGATCAGACTCTCCATTACTCTGAAGAACTATGAACACAAGTACATTGAATCATTTTGGGATTTGGGAAAGGAGCGAGTTTTGGTGGAAATTATTGATACTACGACTGAATTGGAGTGTTTCCATACTACTCTGGGAGGTTGGGATTGGGCTATTATGAACTCGTCGAAAAAATTTTGCATCACAATGAAAAAAAAAAAAAAAAGAAACTTCGCCATCAGTGTATCATATCTGTCGTCCATACATAAGCTACGAACAACATACACAATTTTCTTAGCATGGTGCTTAGAGCATGCTCTTCTTCGACTAATTCAAAGTATTTTTTATTTGAAATAGCTAGTAAAAAAATTACTTAACTTCGTCATGATTCAAAATTGAAAGTAGCTCGTGTTCGGCTCAATTACAAATTCGAGCCAAACTTTAAGAATTTAATTAATAAATGCTTTTAACTTTTTGGTTTAGAGTTCTTATGTTTGAGGAGAATTGCTTACTTTGTATTTCAAGTAGGCTTTTTCTCACAATAAAACATTTAGTCCTTAGCGATGTGGGACTAATGGAATTTTAGGGATATATATACACATACCATCCAATATTATTTATTTACTTATCTAACATTTAATTTATGGAAAATGGGGTCCCTCCCATTAATTCTTGTCTCGTGCAGCGGAAAGCTTAATTAATTTAGGGACATTTACACATGTTCCACCCAAATCCTATCTATTTACATTAAGCTTATATATATTTTTTTATTATACCACCTAAAAATTTAACATTTTTTAAAAACATATTAAAAATTAATATTAAAAGATAAAAATTAATATTAATACTTAGTTATTTTGAGACAAGATGAACTGAACACGGACGAACATACATTTGTTCGTGTTCGGTTCGTTTGCAAATCGACCTAATGAATATTGTTTGTATTCGGCTTGTATTTAAATTGAACACGATAAATTTAACGAGTTGAACACGAGTTGTTCGCCAACAGCGAGTTTTTTTGATAGACCTAGAGACTAGAAACTGAGATTTGGATCTATGTATTCCCATTAGAGAAAAAAATTAAAGAAACTCATGGATAAAAAAGGTTTTAAAAATTAAATAGCATTTGTTCTTCATAATTATTCTTTTGCATGTATGATTTTTTTTTTAATTTTGAAATACAATTTATATTTAACAAAGCATTTCATTATCATAGTTTCTTGTTGTAGTTTAAACAAGATCTATTTTTTAAAATAGTATATATATATAACATATTTATCTATGTATGTAAGTATACAAAGATAAATATACATACATACATACATCTACATGTATGTATGTTTCTATGTATGTGTGTTTGTATTTGTTTATGTCCGTATGTATGAATGTATGTATGCATATATGTATATGTATGTATGTATTTATGCATGTATCTCTCTGTCTCTCTCTCTCAATTCATACACACACACACACACACATGTATATATATATATATATATATATATATAACTCAAATCCTTAAACCATCAATTGAGCTGAGAAGCTACTAATTTTGCATGAAAGCTAATAATGATGACGAATATTTTGTGCAAAAACTTACGTGGTACTAGAAAATTTGGGGGTGACAATTGAAGAGTCAAAACAACGCTTAATTTGTATAGAACATAAAATTTTAGATTTAGATTCAGGTCCAAACTTACAAGCTTCGAATTTGACTGCATTTTACTTGGATGATCTAGAAAAAATGATTGGTTACATTGCATCAAGCTTGGACAATCCAAAAAAAAAAAAAAAAAAAAAAAAAAAAAAATGATTGGTTACATTGCATCAAGCTTGGTCAATCCAAAAAAAAAAAAAACCTTAATTAAGTGATTCTTTTATAAGTAATTAAAACTTATTAAAATTATAATTATTTTTTTTTGTTGTAATCAGATTAGATAATCATGCCCATTATAGATTGAGCTAACACTAGCCCAACACTACTTAAGTGATTTTCTTGTTCTATTGGTAGTGTCTCTATTTAATCAAGTTAGAAATGATTTGAACGTCTTTTCCAATTAATTAACAAGTTGAATTTGGGTTGACTATAGTTAGGTTATATTCTTTTTAAAGTTAGACTTAAAATGAGCACAATAAGCCAAATTAATTATGAAACCCTTTAGTAGAGTGAAGTTGAACTCTTACACGTTGAGGTGTCTTTCGGTGTAACGATTGGTGTTTTGATTTTTTATAATGAGTCCAAAATGAAAGCACTCTTGGGACGGGTGACTATCTGGGAAGTTACACAAATGATACAAAACAGTGAATTTGTCATGCTAAAGTGGACAATACCTCGATGGATGGGAGCTCATATTATTAAAAACGATATCAAAGCCATACAACAATTAAAATGAATGTCAAGTTACGACACCAACCAAAGTTTAAAAGAATTCCTTACATACTCATGAGCCTCTCTAGTTCTGACCCAATCATGGCCTTCCTCTCCTGCTAGGGTGCTTCCTTTTCTTTCCTCCATGAGTAGCAGCGAAGGGTCAACAACGACCTCTGCTCTCGGGCTACTACGATTGTCAGCCGCCCACTTCTTGGACAAGGCCGACGGTCCATTGCAACCCTGTCCTCACTCAAGCCAGGTTTCATGGGTGTCTCGAGAAGCCTCTTTGGCGACCACTTCTTATATCACTTGAAAGAAGCAACCTGATTGGTCCGCTCAGGGTCGACCACCTCTCTC